ATGGACATGGACATTTGGAAGAGCTATCAGTAGTGTCTTACTCATGGACATGGACATGGACACATAGACATGGACATAGGTCCATAGACATAGGTCAATGAATGTGGACATATGGACATGGACATGTGGACATGTACATTTGGAAGAGCTATCAGTAGTGTCTTATTCATGGACATGGACATAGGTCCATGGACATAGGTCAATGAACATGGACATATGGACATGGACATGGGTCCATGGACATGGACATTTGGAAGAGCTATCAGTAGTGTCTTATTCATGGACATGGACATGGACACATGGACATAGGTCAATGACCGTGGACATCTGGACATGGACATTGGACATTTGGAAGAGCTATCAGTAGTATCTTATTCATGGACAAGGGTCCATGGACATAGACATGGGCACATGGACATAGGTCAATGGACATGGACATATGGAAGAGCTATTAGTAGTGTCTTAATCATGGACATGGACACATAGACATGGACACATGGACATGGACATAGGTCAATGAACGTGGACATATGGACATGGACATTGGACATTTGGAAGAGCTATCAGTAGTATCTTATTCATGGACATGGACATGGGTCCATGGACATAGACATGGACACATTGACATGGACATGGACACATTGACATGGACATGGGTCCATGGACATAGGTCAATGGACATGGACATATGGAAGAGCTATCAGTAGTGTCTTATTCATGGACATGGTTCCATGGGCATAGACATGGAGACATGGACATGGGTCCATGGACATAGGTCAATGGACATGGACATATGGACATGGACATTTGGAAGAGGTATCAGTAGTGTCTTATTCATGGACATGGACATGAACCCATGGGCATAGACATGGAGACATGGACATGTGGACATGGACATTTGGAAGAGGTATCAGTAATGTCTTATTCATTGACATGGACATGGACCCATGGACATAGAGATGGAGACATGGACATGGGCCCTTGGACATAGGTCAATGGACATGGACATGTGCACATGGCCATGGACATTTGGAAGAGGTATCAGTAATATCTTATTCATTGACATGGACATGGGTCCATCGACATGGACACATAGACCATGGACATGGGTCAATGGACATGGACATGTGGTCATGGACATCTTACCAAACATGGAGCTGGAATGGATCTGGGTTAAGAACCGAGCTTTGGAGCGGTATCAATATAGTCTTGTGTTTATATATATATGGCGAAGGTATCTTAGCGAACGTGTAGCGGGAATGAGTTCGGAACCAGTATGGACCGCCAACCGTGGTTCTTTTGGGGTAATTAATGTTAGTACTTGGGTTTTGGAAGAAGGTTGGTGCTAGGACGGAGCACCAGAACCCCCCGAAACCCCACCAATGTAGCACTTTTTCTCTCTGCCTTTCCACTCCTCTGCGGATCTCCTTTGGAAAATGTGAAGCCGGTTCGGGACTTTCTCTTTGGGACTCGAAAGGTGCCGCGTCTCTCCTGGCAGTCACTTGCATCAAGTTTTCGGTTTCCTTTTGGGATTGGGACGGGAAACCGTTATTTTGGGGAAAGGGTTTCCCAACGCCCTCTCCTTTACTCTGTATTTATTTGGGGGAGTTTAAAGAGAGTGGAATTGGTCTCCAAAAGGCAAATCCCTGGTTCTGTCCATTCGTTTTGCCCTCTTGAGAGACTGGTCATTGTCCCCTGTTTCCCTTCCAAACCAGTCCCACTCAAACAATGGGCTTCTCTTCGCATTTCCTCCCCAAAAGCATGCATTTCCCATAAAAAGGATGCATTTCCCTCATGAAATGACCTATTTCCACCATAAAATGACCCATTTCCACCCAAAAAGAATGCATTTCCCCATACAATGATGCGTTTCCGCCCTAAAAGGTTGCATTTCCTGCATAAAATGACCAATTTTCACCCAAAAAGCATGCATTTCCCAATACAGTGATGCATTTCCACCCTAAAAGATTGCATTTCCTGCATAGAATGACCCACTTCCACCCAGAAACCATGCATTTCCCCATACAGTGATCCATTTCCACCCTAAAAAGTTGCATTTCCTCCATAAAATGACCAATTTTCACCCCAAAAGCATGCATTTCCCCATACAATGGCGCATTTCCATCCTAAAAGGATGCATTCCCCCATAAAATGACCTGTTTCCACCAAGAATGGCCCATTTCCACCCAAAAAGAATGCATTTCCCCATACAATGATGCATTTCCACCCTAAAAGGATGCATTTCCTGCATAAAATGACCCACTTCTCCCAAAAAGCATGCATTTCCCCATACAATGACACATTTCCAACCTAAAAGGATCAATTTCCCCCATAAAATGTCCTATTTCCACCATAAATTGACCCATTTCCACCCAAAAAGAATGCATTTCCCCATACAGTGATGCATTTCCACTCTAAAAGGATGCATTTCCCTCATGAAATGACCTATTTCCACCATAAATTGATCCATTTCCACCCAAAAAGCATGCATTTCCCAATACAGTGATGCATTTCCACCCAAAAAGGTTGCATTTCCTGCATAAAATTACCAACTTCCACCCAGAAAGGATGCATTTCCCCATACGATGACCCATTTCCACCATAAAATAACCCATTTCCACCCAAAAGGTTGCATTTCCTGCATAAAATTACCAACTTCCACCCAAAAACATGCATTTCCCCTATGCAATGACCCATTCCACCATAAAATAACCCATTTCCACCCAAAAGGTTGCATTTCCTGCATAAAATGACCCACTTCCACCATAAAATGACCCATTTCCACCAAGAATGACCCATTTCCATCCAAAAAGCATAAATTTCCTGCATAAAATGACCCACTTCCCTCATAAAATGACCCATTTCCACCTAAAAAGGGATGCATTTCCCCATAAAATGACCTTTCCTCTATACAGTTCTCAATTTCCACCTTACCAGGGTGCATTTCCCCCATAATAGGACCCATTTCCCCCTTAAAACAATGCTTCCTGTATAAGATTATCCACTTCCCCTATGAAATAATTTAGTGGCACCCAAAAAACGACCCATTTCCCCCAAACGAAGGGTCTAGGAAAGGGCCCACTTCCCCTCTAGAGAATCCTCCATCAGGAAAAGGATCGATTTCCCCCTCGAGAGGAGAGAGCCATTTCCACCGCCAAGGGATCCCTTTGCAGAGACACTTGCGAAGGGGGCAAACCAAGGAGATGCCAAGGAGATGCTGGCGCTTCCGGACGGGCACCGTCTCCAAATTCTTCCTTTTTTAAAAATATAATAGTGTACATAATGTCTAAACCTATATTGTGTATATTTCCTTGTATAATGTCCTATATCAGAGGGAGGTTCGAGATCCTACTGTGTAGGATCCACACCACTATTTGGACCTCTGGCCTGTCTCGAACTCGGCGCTTGAAATATACCGATCGCCTCTTTGTGTCTCCGAGAAAAAAAGGGTCTCTTTATTTGCCGGTTTCGTGTCCTTCGTTGCCACA